TCTACCTTTTCGGGAACCCCGGGTGTCATTAGACCGGCTGAACAAACTGGTTTTGGCTCACCCATGGCAGTCCTTGCCCAGTCCGTGTCCCATATCACCACGGTCTCGCAGATTGTTACTATCAAGTTGAAGGCAGTCGAAGATTATCTCACTTGGCGCACTCAGTTTGAATCCTTCTTGGTGTCTCAAGGTCTACTTGGCATTGTTGATGGTTCCATAGAGGTACCTCCTATGTATACAACTGATTTTGCTAATCGACAAGTTCCAAATTCCGAATATTATTATTGGTTACGAGTAGATCAAACAATTCGGTGCTGGTTGTTTGCTACTTTAACTCGGGATGTTTTAGTTGATGTTCATGACTTGAAACATTCTGCTGCTATATGGACTAGACTTCAGACTCGCTTTATGTCTGCTAGTCTACCACGAAGCATGGAACTTAAACGATTATTGTCTACCATCAAAAAGAAAGAAAATCAATCTATGGAGCTTTATTTACGAGAAATCAAGAACATAGTGGATCCCCTTGCTGCAATTAATTCCCCTGTCTCGGATAAAGAGTTACTTGAATACATTTTGGCCGGATTGGGGCCTGAATATAAGTCCCTTGTTACTACTGTGTCTTTATTTCCTCATGCATTCCCGTTTGACATACTGCAACCCCGTCTCATGGAAGAAGAACAAAAAGTTTTATCTGAGCGTCAACAGCAACTTTCCGTTGGCCATCAGGCCTTTGTGGCCGCTGCTGTCGGTGGACAGCAACCAGCCAACTATCAGCCTCGCGGACGGGGTGGCCGTGGACGGGGTGGCGGTCGCGGCAGAACAGGACGCGGACGTGGCCGCGGTCAGCCACATCAGTTCGGGGCACCGCAGCAGTACTATGGAGCTCCTCCGCCCTTCTTCGGTCAGCAACCGCAGGCCTCCATCCCGCAGCACTACACCGGCCAGCAGGGACAGCAACTTTCAGGCGGGCAGTTTCTTGGGGGACAACAGCCGGGTCCTTCCAGCCAGACCTACGGCAGGCCTCCAGTACCGTTCCAGGGGGTGCAATCCTCCTTCTCGAGCACTACAGGTTCTGCTAGTAATATTGTTGTGTCCAATTTAAATACTAATCCCTTCTATATTTGTGGCACTCACACTAGCTATGCAGGCTTTCCATCGGGTGAGGGCATTCTTGGGTCCATTCCACCACCTGTCGTCTGTCAATTATGTTTCAATGCAGGTCATTCTGCTCTTCAGTGTCCATCCCGCTTTAGTCAGCCTTCTACACCAGCCCTGCTTACTACTAATGGTGAATCAAATTCTGCTTTATGGTACCCTGACTCGGGTGCATCTGCTCACATGACTCCTACAGAAGGTATTTTAGTTAATAAATTTCCTTATACTGGACCACTCTCTGTTAGTGCAGCAAATGGATCTAAATTATCTATAGCTAATATTGGCGATGTTTCTTTAAATACTTCTCCTCGTCCTCTCACGCTGAAATCAGTTTTTCATGTGCCTCATATTAAATTTAATCTTCTTTCCATTCAAAAATTGTGCGCTGATAACAACTGTATTGTAACATTTGATAAAAATTCTTTTTTTGTTAAGGACAAACTCTCGGGGGCGGTCCTTCTACAAGCACCTAGTCATGGTCATCTTTATCCAGTCAGCCTCAGTTCTCCATCACCACTAGCTTTGTCATCTATCACTGCCTCCGGACCCATTTGGCACCGTCGATTAGGCCATTGTGGCACTTCTGTTTTACGAACTTTACATAGTCAGCAACATATTTGTAGTCACTCTAGTTTTTCTCATGATTGTATTTCTTGCCGCTTGGGCAAATCTCAACGATTACCTTTTACGGATGCTAGTCATAATTGTTCTATGCCTTTGCAATTAATTCATTCGGATGTTTGGCAGTCTCCTATTTTATCAAATATGGGTTTTAAATATTATGTCTGTTTTATTGATGACTTCTCTCGATTTACCTGGCTTTATCCCATGAAAAATAAGAGTGAAGTATTTCGCCATTTTCAGTCTTTTAAATCCTTAGTTGAAAATCTTTTTAATACTAAAATTAAAATTTTTCAAAGTGATGGAGGGGGTGAATTTGTTAATTTTCATATGCAGCAATTTTTTGATCATCATGGCATTTATTTTCGAAAATCATGTCCAGACACACCTCAACAAAATGGGGTTGCTGAACGTAAACATCGACATCTCTTGGAACTCACTAGAACTATGCTTCTTGAAGCCTCTATTCCTAGTTTATTCTGGGTTGATGCCATTTTTACGGCTGCATATATTATTAACCGTTTACCATCTCCGTTACTTGGCAATATCTCTCCTTATGAAAAACTTTTTCAACAATCCCCTGATTACTCCTTCATGCGTGTGTTTGGTTGTTCTTGTTTTCCCAATATTACTGCCACATCCTCTAACAAACTCTCACCACGGTCTGTCCACTGTGTCTTTATTGGCTATGCATCTGGGTATAAAGGGTATCGTTGTCTTGATCCCAAGTCTGGTAAAATTTACATCAGTCGTCACGTTAAGTTTTTCGAAAATAATTTTCCTTTCCCTTTTCTAACTTCTACCAGCCATGAGTCTCCCTCTCCACCTATCCCATCTGACTTCCAGTTGACCAACACCCTTCGGCCACATTCTTCCGCACCAGAAGCTCTGCCACCATCTTCCAGCCCACCGGTGTTTCTCCCTGCCTCACCGATCATCGCCCAGACCCCTCCTCCCAGTTCTCACTCCAACCGGTCATCTTCTAGTCCTGAAACCACACATCGAACTCCCAGCCAGCTACACTATACCTTCGGCCAGCCTAGTCCCCAGTCCCTCTCGTCTGGCCGAAGCATAGCTGAGGCACAAGGGAGTAATGTTTTTTGAAATCAGTCGTAGCGGTGTTACTTTTGGGGATTTGAGCCGATGAGTACCTTGGGGTGGGTAATTGGGCCGAAGCGGGGTTTTCGGGGCCGTAGAGGCCTTCGGCGGATGCCTTTGCTGTGATGTGAGTTTGAGTTGGGCCGTAGGGGATGCTCCCATGGATCTTTTGAATAGGTGCCTTTTGATTGGTTGGAGGAGCGGTGGCCATTGGTGTAGCCAATGGAATGGCACCATGTGTAGTGACCGTTGGAGGGGCGTCTATAAATACCCCATCTTTCCGAAGCCACTCCCTCATTTGCATTTGCTAGAGTCGAATTGCTGTTGAGATTTCTAGAGAGATAACGTGCTTCCCAGAATCTTCAAGTGTTCATCGCATCCTTCAAAACTTCAAGGTTAGGTTCTTGTATTGTTCTTCGCTTTTTCTTTATACTTTGCTTCCTAGGAGGTTAGATCTAGTGTTTCTAGGAAAAATCACTTTGATCAGGAAAACCACCCTTAGGAATAGATTTAGGTGTTATGCCGTTCCCTGACGGCCGTAGCGTTCCCTCTCCTATTGACTTAACAGCCTCTCTGGACGAAACGGATTGGCCCTTTAACGACGAGGATACATCTCCCGGGGTTGACCTTGAGTGACGACGGGGGCTCTCATTCCTCCGGCGGGGACGAAGCGAGCTCTGAGCCTAAACTTTGAGGGGACGAAGCGGGTGATGCTTCATCGGCTGCTATACCTTGTCCTCCTCCGATTTCATCTGTGCCGGGTGAGGCGTCGTCTTCCAGGGCCTCGAAGCGACGCGGGTCGCGTCGGAGGAAAGGGCTTCTTGGTGGGTTATCTCAGTTGGATTTGATGAATCTCTATATCATAAGGCCGGAGGGCTCCCAGGGTGAGTATCAAGTGGCTCAGCTCTACGTCGGGCCCTATAGAAAGGTTAGAGTGCCGAGGCCGACAGACCACGTTTTGAACCCTCCCCCTGGATATTTAGGGGTGTATCCGATGAGCTTCTCCCAAGGCTTGAGGTTCTCGTTGCCTCCCTTTGTTACTGAGTATTTGAAGACGTTGGGTCTTCCTCCGACCTTGTTGACGCCGAACAGTTATGCCCTCATCGTCGGGTTCCTTATCCGATGCGATGAGTTGAGAATTGAGCCGACGACGGCCTTGTTTATGAACCTGTACCGGGTCGGCCGAGGAAGTCATGAGAACTGCGCGGGCTATGCTATGCTCCAGCAGCTACCGAAGAAGAAATCCTTCATAGATCTCCCTTCGTCTATCCATGGGTGGAAGAGCAAGTTTTGCTTCGTGAAGTTGGCCGGCGGGGTTTTCTTTCCTTCTCAAGGCCATGACGGCACATTTAACTTGCATACGCCGCCGAAGAGCCCTGAGATTGATGCCCAAGTGGAGGCTTTCTTGAAAGGTGGGCCGAGGAGCGTCAATACTTACATCACCGAGTTCAAGATAGCTGCCTTGGGGATGATGCGGTATTATATTCCCGGGGACCCTGATTGTGGATTATGGCCGAAGATGTCCGGCTATTTTGAGCAGGCCGATGGGCCCCATGTTGGGATTCCGGTCGAGGCCGAAGGTTGATAGCTTCCCTCTTATCCTTAATGTACTTTGTATTTTTTGTCACTAACTCCTCTTTGATGTTGCATTTGCAGGTTTCGAGATGAGCCGCAAGCTATTCATGGCGCAGGCCAAAAAGATGGTGGACAAGGAGATGCAGGCTGCTCAACAAGCCGAGGCGTCCAAAGGCTCGACCGATGCGTCGAAAGACAAGGTCGATGCGGCAAAGAAAGCGGCTGCGGCCAAGAAGAAGAGGTCTGCTGAGGGCCAACAAACTTTGACCGAGGCGGGGTTGAAACCGGCCCAGGCGGCCAAGAAGACGAGGCAAGCGCCTCCTCCCGGTGATGCCGATGCGGCTTCTGTTCAGGCTACGGCTCAAGAAGAGCATGTTTCTGAAGTTCAGGTTATTGAGGACCTAACACTGGACGTGGCCTCGTCCGCCCTTGTTCCCACCAAGTCCGGCGCTGTTGCCAAGGAGAAGGCCCGCGCCGGCCGTGATGTGGCCACGGGCCTGTATGAGGTGACGGTGCGTTACCCGTCGGGAGGCGGGCTTTTCAATGAGAAGGTGTCTGGCCACGAAGTCCTTTTCCAGGTTATCCCTGATGCGGATCGGGAGTACTTGCGTCGGCGGGGAAAAGATGTGCGCCTCTTTGATGGCGGTCCGGACTACGTCGTCCAAGTAAGTTCCTTACTTTGTACTTAGTGATTTTCTCTCATTTTCCTTTCCTGACATTTGATTGTCCTTGTAGGGCACCTTTATGCTGATGGAGCAGTATCGGCGGCAGGAGGAAGAGATAGCTCGCCTTCGAGAGGCCGAGAAAAGGGTTGCCTCGGCGGACGAGGCGCTGACCTCTCTGGAGCGGCTTCGCGCTGAGGCCGATTCCCTGAAAAACAGGGCCAATGCGGCTAAAAAGAGAGCCACTGCCGCTGAGGACGAGGCGAAGCGCCTCAATGTTAAGGTGGATGAGGAGGCTGCTACTCGCCGGCTTGCTGAAGAAAAAAATGAGAAGCTGAAGGCCGATGCGAATGCGGCTGCTGATAAAGCCATTGAACTCTTCATGGCCGAGGGGTGGAAGGACGAGGCCCACCGTGACTGGAGCTATAAGGTAATAGCGGAGCGGTTTGAGGCCTGATCGCAGGAAGATCCGGCCGGCAGGGCCTATATGAAGCAGGAGTTCGAAGTCTGGTACGACCTCGGCCAGAGGCGTATGCAGATGTTGATCTATCGCTGTCTCCGCCGACGCATCCGCAACATCAAGTCGCGTCGTATGGGCCTCCCTCGGATCATGAAGGATCCCGAAGAAGAGCTAAAACTTCCACTGGCCAAGAGGCAACGCCCCGTATTGAGCTCATCATTGGAGAAAGAGCTTTGGACTGAAGAAGACGAATATCTCTTCGAAGGTTCAGTGAGCTCGAAGGCTGTTGAGGATGAAGCGGACGATGCGGACAACGGGGCCGTTGAGGGTGGTCAAGGCCAAGATGCTTGATATCTTTGTACTTCTCTTTTCGTTTTATGTAGTTGTAGTGGCCGTAGCGCCTTTTGTATGTAATGGCCGTAACGCCCTCCATTTTGTAATGGCCGAAGCGCCCCATCTTTAATTATTAATGACAACTCTTTTTGTCTAAGTATGGATTCTCCGCCTCGCTTCGTCTTTGTAAGGAATAAATGTATTTAGATTTTGATGATGCTATATAGATTAGAGAACCCCCATTTAGATTTTATGTATTAGAAATTTTCAGTTGTAAGTATTAGTGTAGTCGACGGTCAGAGATCCTCTATGAAGTTCTGATCAGAGTTGCTATGAGAAATGCTCTATGAGAACTGCTTCATAAGAGTTGCTGCATGAGAAGTGCCTTCAGAGTTGCATTATGAGAATTGCTAGCAGAGCTGGTCATCTGATAGTCTATGAGAGTTGCAATCAGAAGTACCAATCAGCAAACCATCAGAGTTGCTACCAGAGCTGCACCTCAATCAAGAATCAGAGTACCATCAGAGAACCATCAGAGCCTGACTGAAGAAATGCTAATCAGAAGAGCCCCATCAGACTCCGACTTACACTTAGAAGATTTCAATGCTACTTCCAACGGCAGTTAAACTAACGGAAAATTCCCTAACGGCTAGAAGATGTTGCATGGAAGGAAAGCATTCAATGCTCATTTAATGAGCCTGATACGTTGTGGAGTAATTGCAGATGATTGACCGAGAATTCTGGAGGTTAGAACTTTCTTGTAAACAACTGTTGTAAACACTTAGGAGAACAATTGTTCGGATCCTAAAGTGTGGTTAGATAGAGTACCTTTTGATCCCCACTGGATCAATTGAGAAAAGTCTTAAGGTTTGAGTAACTTGGAGTGGTGTTATACTCCTCGTGAAACGCCTTCAATCTAGGCCAGAGTTGTTAAGGCTAGATTGGCACTAATTGTATTGGGCTTAATACTTTAGTGGAAATCCATTTGAAAGAGAATGGGACTGGATGTAGGAGGATTACACCACCTCTGAACCAGGATATATCGTGTGTTGATTTACTTTCATATTAACCAAGCACACACCAAACACTTCTCTAAAAGGATTGTAGTTTGCCAGCAGCATCCTAAGCAGTAGTCTTAACTGACCCTACTGCTTATCCTACTGCTTAATTACTCACTCTCCTTGAGATAATTTTCCACGAGAAGCTCTCAAAATTTAGAAGTGGTCTCAACAGTACTCTGGTCTTCACCCACCTGCTGAGCCCACTGCCCATCCATACGTGTCTCTCTGAACTCTATAATAGCCAGAACAAAAAGCCTATTCAAGAGTCATCCTGGTTCTTAGCAGTTGCCTCAGCAGTCTCCTGCTTTCCAGCCAACTGCCAACCCAGCAGTTGCCTCAACAGTAGTCTGCTCACCAGCCAACTGCCAAGCCTACTGCCAGTCCAAACATCACCAATAATAGAAAGTTATCTTACAATGAGTATCTAGAGGTTAGAGACTTCCGCTGTGCATCTATTAATCTCCTAAAAGATTATAGATCAACTCATCTAGAGGGAAAAGTTCTTAAAGCCGAAAAAGCTTTAAAAGTCTATTCACCCCCCCCCCCCCCCTCTAGACTTTTACCTCTATCCGGGACCATCAAGTGGTGAAGTGGTGATACTTCCGGAAAGCTCAGTGAAAGGACCAGCCATCAGGAAGTGGAATTGCATCCTGGGTGGCAACTAGGCTTGAAGAAGACGTGGAGAGCTTCTTAAGTGCTAGGGACTAAGGCGTTGTAATTGACATTTACAAGCTTAGTGGAATAGTGGACTAGAGGAACGCGTTGTTCCTTGAACCACTATAAAAATCCCCGTGTCTTTTACTTTACTGCACTTTATTTCTGCACGTAAGATCCTATTCGAGGTTGGCCGATGCGATCGCGTCGGCTATTTATCTCTTTTTTTTAGACTGATATGTACTTAGCCATATTGTGGCTTTGACAAGTTGGGGATTTTATTTTTTGCTCTTCGGCCCACTAGTGTGCAGGCTGTCGGCTTCCCTCTTTTTTTTTTTTTACTATGGAGAAGGGTTACTGTCCCTTTGTCCATGCAAGGGTTTTTCCCTGTTTCGCATTTCGTAGATGCTAAGGCGAGGAGCACAGATGCCCTCAGCCTAGCGTGTCAGTGGCCTCTGTGTCTTTTCGTGTCTGGGCCTTTCCATGTCTTCAGTGACGAGGGACCGGGCCTTTTGATGATGCCACTATACTAAACAGTTGTACATTGAGTCTTATTTGCAAAAGTAACATTTAAATTTAAATCATAAGTGACAAAAATAAATGTACAATCTTTAAGATTAATGATATATTACCGGATACATAAAAATGCAATAAGGTAACTTTTTACCTTCATAGGATATTTAAATCCTACCGGCATATATCATTTTACTCAAAGATTAACTATAGGTCACATTTAAGATGCTCGAATACATTGAATGTATGATTGGAAGACAAAAGTTGACCAGCATTAAATACACGGTCCTACAGCATGAGAAGATTTCTTGGAGTGAAGCTGCAGCGGCTGAAAACAAACCCATACCGCGGCCCAATTATTCAAGACAGAAAACAAAAGGATTAAAAGCTCCTGCACAAGAAGACGAATGTACAATTCGTCCTAGCCAGACCCTCAACGCACAAGATTAATCCATCTCAACCAACGGATGAGATTAATCAACCATGAAGGCCTATAAATATAGGTAGAAGCATGAGTTCTAAAATAAGCTTGAGCATCCTAAGTAGAGAAATACTTTCATCAAAGCATATACGAGCTACCTAGCAAAAGAGAAAGTGCAAACTCAACTTTACTCTCTGCTTAGCCTCATGCTTCACTAAGCTCTTAGATTAGATCAACACTTTCACATTTTTAGAGCTTAGTTCATAGTTGGAGGTTAGAACTTTCTTGTAACACTTCACAAGTGGTTGTAAACACTTAGGAGAACAGTTGTTCGGATCCTAAAGTGTAGTTAGATAGATAGAGTACCTTTTGATCCCCACTGGATCAATCGAGAAAAGTCTAAGGACTGAGTAACTTTGAGTGGTGTCATACTCATTGTGAAAAACCTTCAATCTAGGCCTAAGTGTTGTAAAGGCCAGATTGTCACTAAGTGTATTAAGCTGAATACTTTAGTGGAAATCCATTTGAAAGAGAATGGGACTGGACGTAGGAGGATTACACCACCTCTGAACCAAGATACATCGTGTGTTGATTTTACTTCATTCAACAAAACACACACCCAGCACTTCTCGTATAAAGATTGTAGTTTGCCAGCAGCATCTTAAGCAGTTGTCTTAATTGACCCAACTGCTTATCCTTCTGCTTAATTACTCACTCTCTTTGAGACTATCGTCACACAGTTCACTTGCCAAAGCATTACCAAAAAGGTTGCTCTATCAGTTCCCGGAAATTCACTTTCAAAATATAGCAGGTGCCTCAGCAGTCTCCTTAGTACCACCCAACTGCTGAGCTCCCTGCTCACATACATATATTTCCTTTAAACAACTCAACATCACCAGATCCTCATAACATCATCAACACGAAGTTTTGCTTAAAAGGATCTGCTTATAACCTAAGCAGGTGGCTCAGCAGTTCCCTTAGTACCACCCAACTGCCAAGACCACTGCTCCAGTTAAACTTCACCTTAACCTTACTTAAGTACTTTTTCAGACACCTTTCTTGTGTTCTAAACAACGTTTCACCATCACTTTCATCATAAAGTCAATATTTCTCTAGCAGTTACCTCAGCAGTTTCCTACTACCTAGCCAACTGCTAAGCTAACTGCCAAGCCAACTGCTAGCTATCTAAGTCCAATCTTCCCAAAATTAGAAAGTGGTCAAACACTCATTACATAAAGGGTAAAGACTTCCGCTGTGCATCTATTAATCTCTCAAAAGATTATAGATCAACTCATCTAGAGGAAAAACTTCATAAATTAGAAAAAGACTTAAAAGTCTATTCACCCCCCCCCCCCCCCCCTCTAGACTTTTACCCTATCCGGGACCATCACGTTCCTTAGTTGTTTGTCCTTGGATCTTAAGAAGATATAAATGGAACATGGTATTTTATTCTTAAGTGGCTCGTTGGCCGAGGGTGTTTATTCAATCAATAACCCGAGGGATGGGGGACGTTGCCCGCTACACCTGTCACGCCCCGGACCTACCGGACACGTCAACAACCCGCCGTACAGTACGAATGGTCAACCGCAGTCCAACTCATCCATACTGTACTAGGCGTCTTGAATACCATTCACAATAGTACATCCATAAACAATCATAATGTAAATCATTTAATTAAGCAGCGGAAAATATTAATACAAGTATTCAAGCCACACGTGGCAAACACGGGCATACAAGCCCCCAAATAATTATTCAGAAAATAATATCCATGAGCATTTAATAGTATTGTTTTGAAAATAGATACGGAGGAAGCACGAACAACGTCTTCTCTCCTTTAGCTCCCCGAAGCAACGGGCGATGATAGCAAGCTTTTAGCCCCTACCTGAAACTGTGAGGTGGCCTCCCCCGTGAAGGGGAGGTCAGTACTTGGAAGCATTTGACAAGTACAATGACAACTATACTAAGTATAATCAACGTTTTAATTTCTAAGACCCTCAAAATAGGGTGATATCATAATATAAATAATAATTTATATTTCCCACTTATTATCTCCATAATAAGTAAATTCATTTAATTGTCGGCACACGGCCCATTTTATATATCCCTTTTTAGTTATCATCTACACAACCCAACCCGTGGGTCTTATTATTTCTACGGGACTTGCTACCGCTGTCCGAGACCTCATGAGGCTCTCGGTTCGGACTTCAACATCCCGCCCCTGGACTTATACCCATCATCCTGTAGGAAGGTAAGGCCCTTCGGGGTCCTATCTTATGTGTTACCGCTACCGGAGCCTAGTTAGGTCTCCGATTTGGATTCCACCCTAACCCGTGCTCACGATGTAAGT